TTATCTTAGTACTTGTTTTGATATCATCATGCTAATAGATGTAAGATCTCTTATTGCTATCTTATAGCATGAGCATAACACTCATAAGTCTTATCATATATAGTCAATGTTCATTATTAACAATGCTATGACTTGAGACATTTAATGATATCATTTAATGCATTAACATTTGTCTCATATCTTTCGATAAAATATTAATGCAATACTTATCATATGGACTTTTATCTAATTCTATCAAAATATAAACGACAAGAATTAATAGAAAAACTTCTTTTATTAATTAAATCTAGAATACAATATTACAATAAGTCAAACTATCCAAATAAGGTTTAATCTTGAGCACCTACATTAATATATAGTGCACACTAGTCGCTTGCTTACACTACACTATAGGTTGAATAGAAAAAATCATTTTAAGAGTTAAAATTTTTTCAATTATAATTTTTTATTTAATATTTTTTTTTATAAATCTTTTGATTAAAAAACATAAATCATTCCTCTTTATGGATTGATTTTAAAATAAAAAAATGTAATAATTTTAACTAAAATATTAATCAAGAATTTAAAAAACTTTTAAAATATAATTTTTATAATATTGTATTCCAAAAAATAAAGTTATAATTAATGGATAGAGTTTTACAAAAATTAACAAATGAAAAAAAAATCGTATTTAATGCTGATGAGAAGATTAATTTTTGAAATTATCTCCGCAATGCTATGAGCGAGATAGAATAAATCATTTAAAAATTTTGCAATTTTTTCATTAATTTTTTATTTAATCATGAATTCTTCTTTAATATGTTTTTCATAAAATTTTCGCTTAAAAAAACATAATTTATTCCTTTTTATTCGGGGATTTTTAAATACAAACTTATAATAATTTAAACTTGAAATATTAATTAAGAATTCAAAATACTTTAAAATTATATAATTTTAAGTAAGAATGTATTCAAAAAATAAAGTTACAATTAACGTATAGACTTGAATAAAAATTAACCAATGAAAAAATAAAATTTTATTCTTATTTAATGTTTGTGAGAAGATTACTAATTTTTTTCTTTTCAAGTATATGCATTAGATCTATATATATTTATTTACAAAATAATCAATAAAATTAGCATAAACAATGTATTTGAATAATTGGCTGGTTTCTTTAAAAAATTATTTCATTATTTTATTTCAAATAAATTGGTTCTATAATATTAAACAAATATTCATAGTAAATAATCTATATTATCTTGGAAGATGTATAGTTAATTTTTAATAAAATCAACGATTCAATAATTTTTTTTATACGTTTTGACCATAATAACAAATAATTGATATTGTGTGCATAGATGCATAGTTTATTTCTAATAAAATCAATCTAATTTTATTATTTTTTATACATCATGGTTGTACTTAATAGGTGAGAATGTATAAAATAAATTAAAAATATTTTTTAAAAATTAAATGGTAACCTATGTTGAAGTTAATACGAATGTAGTAAAAACTATAAAATGGATTTTGATAAAATTTGATTATATAAAAAATAAGAAAAACATAATACATATATTCAAATTTTAAATTTTGATTACATAAGAATTAAGCAAATAAAAACAAGTATAAAAAAAACTTATTCGAATCCATATATAGAGAAAATAATTCATATTTATTAATAAATAAAATTATATACAAAATAAGAATAAAAATTAATTTGATGATAATTTTTATCAAAAAAATCAATTTTAAACAATAAGAGTAGTTTATATTTATTCTAAAATCTAAAAATATATCATATAAATGTAAAAAATATCAATTATCATATAAATCTAAAATTTTAGAAACCAAAATGAAACAACTTGAAAATTTTAAAAATAAAAAAGAACCTAAATTGATGGGAAAAAAATAAAAAATGAAAAGGCATGTACAATGAAACAACTTTTTTTTAAAAAGGACCTTAGCTACGTTAAAAAAAATTAAATTAAAAAAGATCCTAAATTGATGAAAAAAAGTAAAGAAAAAAAAATGCATGTATGGTGAAACAACTTGAGAAAAAAACCATTAGCTACGGTAATGAATAATGATTTTTAAGGAGTGAATAATGATTTTCATTGTTCAAACCCCCCACCTGTTTTAGTTATATAGTATAAATATAAAAAATATCGTATATATTATATAATTCTTAGTTTATGTTTAAAAAAAAATAACGATTGATGTTTTAAAATTTTAACACCTAATTAAATAAAAAAAGAGAACATAAATTGATGGAAAGAAAAGCAAAGGAAAAAAAAACCATATGTAGTGAATCGGTTATGGGATTAAAATTTTTATTTTAAAATTTTAGAGACCAAAATGAAACAACTTGAAAATTTTTTTTTTTAAAAGAACCTAAATTGATGGAAAAAAGCAAAGAAAAAAATGAAAAATGAAAAGGCATATATAGTGAAATAAATTTTAAAAAAATAGCTACGTAAAAAAAATTAAATAAAAAAGAACCTAAATTTATGGAAAAAAATTAAGAAAGATCAGATATGTATGGTGAAACAACTTAAGAAGAAAAAAACCTCAGCTACAATAATGAATAGTGATTTTCTACGGTAGTGAATAGTGATTTTCATTGTTAAAATCCTCCACATGTTTTAGTTATATGGAAATACTCCAAGTTTTTGGAGGACTTCTTCTTTTTTTTTTTTTTAATCAAAGATATGATAAATATCTGGTTTCAAGATATCATGAGGTTGTAAAACCAAAAAATAAAATCGGATCAAGATAAATACAATCATGGTAAAAACAACTCTGAAATTTTTTTTTTTTTTTTTTGAAAAAAGAACTTAAATTGATGGAAAAAAGCAAAGAAAAAAAGAAAAATGAAAAGGCATGCATAGTGAAATAACTTAAAAAAATAGCTACGTAAAAAAAATTAAATAAAAAAAATCTAAATTGATGGAAAAAAGTAAGAAAAATAAAATATGTATGGTGAAACAACTTAAGGAAAAAAAAAATCTCAAGCTACAATAATGAATAGTAATTTTTACTCGTTAAAATCCTTCACTTGTTTTAGTTATATGGTAATAGTCCAAGTTTTTGGAGGACTTCTTCTTCTTATTTTTTTATTTTTTTTTGATCAAAGATATGATAAATATCTGCTTTCAAGATATCATGAGGTTGTAAAACCAAAAAATAAAATCGGATGGAGATAAATACAATCATGGTAAAAACAATACATTTTTTTTTCAATACGATACAAAACGATGCAAAATCTCAACGATTTTATAACTAAATTCACCCATTAGATTAAGGAAATCTTATACAAACCATACACCCACCCAACTTCCCAACGTTAAGATTAAGGAAATCTTATAATGGCATTTACACATCAAAACCTATCTATATAAGAATAATTGTACTATAATTACCTCCATCTTTAATATTTTCTTAATTGGCTATATGAATTTTAATTTTTTTCGTTTCAGTATATAATTTTTTCAAAATTATTAATAAAATATTTTTGCATTTAATTCTTATTTATTATTATGTTATGTTTTTTACCCTAAACTATTAAATTATGACTTAATCATTTTATTCTTGACCGGAATTCATTTTCTTCTTTTTTTTATAAAAGGAAAATTTTCATTTTAAAGCAAAAGTAAAACCACAATTTAATAGTTTGGGGTAAAAGATTTGTCCTCAAATAATAAAACAATTGAAAAAGTTAGAAAAAAATATTTCATTGACAGCTTTTTTAAAAAATCAATATTTTCAAAGCAACAAAATTTAAAATTCTTGCACTCAATTAAAAAAACATTCAAAAATAATGTGTTTAATAGCGTAATTATCTCAATATATTGATTACAGTCAATATGCATAGAGCAAGTACATATACAATTGTTGATGTGACTCGTATCTGCATGACAAAAATATTGATTCCATAAAAGCTTAAGCAGAAAACACAAAGACAGATACATTAAATGCCATGGCAGGGAGGGAAAGGAAATGACAAAAAAGGCTGGGAGATTGTGAAGACAGATAAGAAAGAAAGGTTAAAAAAGTAACAATGCAAACAAAGAAATGGCATAAAAGCAATTAAGGAAAGAGCACGAGGGTGAAAAAAGAAAAAAATTGAGTGGGTGATGTGTTAAGAAAAGCAAAGGCAAGACGAGACAATAAAGCACTGTGAGGCAAAAATAGCTGAACAATAAAAGAAAAAGGAACATTGAGTCTTTGTCTACAGTGGACTTTAGTTTTTTTTGTTAATGAGTTTAAATTAATAATAAACAAATAATATTTTATGAGTATGTGAATATTAAATTTTTTAATTTGTTTTATAATAATATATGAAAATTTGAATATACCCACCAATTTTCGACATGTAAAAGAGAATAAATAAAACTGTACAGAGGGATTGACTGGAACGTACCATGTCTTCAAGTTAAAAAAGCACCGGAAGGGAAAGGCACTTTATCTGCAGGATGAAAGAAACAGTGAAATAACATGTGAAAACCAGAAGGGCAGGAGACTCGGCACTTGGATGACCAAATTACACATTGACACCCTCCCAAATCCTCAGACCCATCACGTAATCCAGATAACAACACAATCCTCTCCCTCAACCAATCCATTCCTTCCACGTGTCAATAGTACAATCCATCACATCATCTCTCCTGTGCTGAGAGAACTCCTCATTAGGCACCATAATGTGTCAAGTGATCATCAAATCAAAGTCTTGCCTGCAGAAAGTTGCACCTTTTCTTTCACCGCTTCCTCTTCAGGATCAAAACCAGTCAACAGCTTCACCAAGAGAAGTAGAGAATAGAGATAGAGAAATAGGAATAACAAATATGTGCAGCAAGAGCAGCCGGCCTATTAGACACAGGAAAAAAGCAGCAAAAGAAGCAACAGTACTAATATCTTCGAAACCAGCAAGAAAAACCAGAACCAAAACAAGAAAGCCAAAGTATCTCTCTCTTAAACTTGAACTATCTCCGAAAACAGAAGCCCCCCAGAAACCCGAAATCAAAATGACCCACAATAAACAACTGATAAACCTATTTCCTCTCCATCCAGAAAATCTTGTTCAGCAATACAAAGACATGCATGATCATGATCAAGTTGCCTTTCTCTTGGAAACAGCCGGCTGCGACGATACCTCCACTACTCTCCAAGGCCTCCTTGACAACACGACGACGACGACGAACACCACCACCACCTCAGAGGATGGGCCACTCGGTTGCCATATTGAGATTGATCAGGAGAGATGCGATGGGCGACCCAGCTTGCTGGAAAAGACAGCAATGAAGTGTAAAACGAGAGACTTGAGTGAGGAGAGGTGGGTGAGTTACTGGGAGGTGGTGGAGAGGAAAGAGCAAGAAGAAGTGAGTAGCTCTTCATGTTATGGTGCTGCTGATACATTGGGGAAGATGCTGCAGGTTGAAGATGGTCAGAAAAAGGGGTTGGTTGGTTTGAAGCTTGATTATCAAGAGATCTTGAATGCTTGGTCTGATAAAGGCCCACTTTACATTGCAGGAGAGTCCCCACAAACTGTTCCTGATATCTACGATGGCTCCAACGTAAGTAGTAAATGGTCTATAACTTTAACAATTTAAATTGTTAATTTTGATTCTTCATAGCATCAATGTCCTTCATTTTTAATCTATATTTCTATGCATTGGTTTTTTTGTTTAATTTCTGTTGCTTCATTTCCGTTGGTGGTGGTGGTTTGGGATCTCAGGGGATCGATTATGGTGTTTAATTATTGGAATGTTTGCTGCCTTTCCGCTAGCATTGGATGGTCCTTTTTGGAGGTGTTTTTTTTTCCCCCGAAACAGAGTAATTTTAAATCTTATTTACAAAAAACAGGGTTGTTTTAATCTTATTTGACAAAACAAGGTACTTTTGCCACTTGGATCAAATCACCTGAACATATCAGTTTGTTTTAATGCTAAATTCACTAATAATTTTACAATACTCAAATTAAAAAAAAAAAAAAAAAAACCCTGATCCAGAAACAAACACCATTAGCAATAAATCATTTTCTTTAGTTATGATCACCAGAAAAAATGCAGATTCAATCACCCAAACCCACCAACAAGATCTGTTGAATGATTAACTAGCAATTCTATCCTCTTGTTTCACTTCAAAATTAGCATCTAAATGATTAAACAGCACCACCTCATCTGGTCCTCTATAGTCAGCATCAATAACCCTGGCACCAACATCTATCCCATGCTTCAATACAAACCCAGATCGCGGTGCTTCGTAACTTAAAACAAACAAAAACCACTTCCTTTTTCAGTCTAACACATAAAATCAAATAGAGAAACTCCAATTCAAATGGTGATAATAATTTTTATAAAATAAGATAATATTTTACCAACGCTCATAGGTTCCTTCTGGTATCCCAATTCTCAAATATGTAGGAACCGAAGCTTTCTCTCTTGCAGGAACTGCAATCTCAATAACATTGAAAAAAAACAATCACCTTCGAATTCATGAACCATAAGACAAAGATTAATATCAGAAAAGGGTTGTAATTAAAACTAAGTTTGTTACTTGGAGAGATTATAAATTGCAGATAAAGGTGAGCCTCTAGAAGTCAAAACAACATTCTCCTAAATTGCAGATAAAGGTGAACCTCTAGAAGTCGAAACAACATTCTCCTATAGCTTCTTAACCCTTAATAAAGAATTATGACTTTGGTGAGCAACGATTTTGTTTTGGGTTTTGCAATTTTTGGGATTTTGGGTGTGGGTTTGTTGACTTTAGCTCAATTTCTTTGATGATCTTCTTGTTGCGTGATTTCAATTTTTACAGAGAGAGATTGCTAACGGAGTTACTAGTTCTTGAAGGTTTATTTATTTTAGCTTTACTAGAGCAATTGTTTCTGGATCTTGTTAATGAGCTAGTGGATTGGGTCTCCTAGTGTTTGATTTTATCTGGTAATCATAACTAACGAAATAGTTGTATTGCAAATTATGTTTGTTTATAAAATTTTGTAAAATTATTAGCTGGGTCTACAAGTGTTTGATTTAATTATTATTTTATAAAAATTTTCTAAAATTTTGTAAAATTATTAGTCAATTGACTAGTGTTAACCATCTTTAGTTTGGTTGTATTTTTTTTATTATATAAATACCTTAAATCTTCGTCAAATTTTTACATCTTATCTACTTCTCTTTTTCTTTCTCAAAAAAAAAAAAAAAAAACAAAAAAAAGAAATTGATCAGATAAAACTAAGTTGTTGGCAAATTTAAACACAATACATAGGTCTTCAAAAAATAGTTTCTAAAATGATGTGGACTAATTAATTAGTTGTCACACCATTCGAAAAAGAAAAAAGAATAATAGTTTTGTTACACTATATCACTAAGTTATAAACCATATACAGATTCTCAATTGCATTCAAAACCTATGGTTTTTTATGAATTAAATCCCAAATGCTTCTTATATTTTTCATTTGGATTTTTTTTTGGTCAATTCGTTTTGATATTTTAAGTCTAATGTGTATATTTGATTCACTAAACCGATGTTGATTGATAAAATTTGACGAGAAAGTTAGTAAATATTACCTTTTTTGTATTTTAATGTTCATATTTTATGCACTAAAATTGTTCTGATATGAAGAAAAATTGACAACTTTTGGTGATCATTAACAAAAAACCCTAATTGTGAATTTTTTGTAATGTTTGGGATCCAATTGATAAGATATATAGGTTTGGGACTTTATTCAGGTTTTCCAAGTTATAATTAACTCATTTTCAATTGTTAAAAGTTCATGTGATAGCATTTATGCCAAATTCTAACGTTTCTTCCCTTAAGCCCGGGCAATTCTTGGGGTCTGGATTCAGAAATCCATGAAATTACTCTGCTCCCAAAACAGTTAGTATTGTATAAAAATGGCAATAGATAAATTTACCAAGTCATTACCACTATTTTTCAAGGCCTCTTGGGAGCATCTCATTTAACATTTTTTTTTATTTGTTCTAATTGCTTAAAAAATGTTGAGTGTGTATATATATATATATATATTAGCTAGGAACTACTATATTTAAGACTATGGGAGACTAGTCTTGCGAACATGATTAATTGAATGATGTGAGAGACAACCAACTAATGTGTTGGCAATAACTGATCAATCAAGTTGGTTTGCTTTTATGGTCAGGCATTAATGGACGGGTGGGGGAATTTATGGAGCGTGCCAGAAATGCGTGGCATGAAAATGAAGGAAGGGAAAGAGAGTTGGAAATTAGGGCAAAGAGAGGCAAGTGTGTTGAGGTATAAGGAGAAGAGGCAAAGCAGGCTTTTTGCTAAGAGAATTCGATATGAAGTTCGAAAGATCAATGCAGAGAAACGCCCCAGGTTGAAGGTACTTTTATTTTCTTTCCTTTAAGAGATGAAGCTATTTTAATATTCAAACCAGCTGCTTGATTGTTATTTCCTTTTTGCTATTGGAATTATGAGGATTTTATCAAAGATCTGGATTTGATGTTGAATGCCATGACTCGTGTATCAGTGTAAATCACAATACACCCACCAATTTCAAAATTCCTATCAAATGAAAGCCACCGAGGTCTCCTACTATTTTTCATTGCTTCCTTCTTCTTCTTTCAAATTTCCATTTTTTTTTTTTTGCTTCGAATGAGAGGTTAAAACACTTGGAGGGAGGGAGATATAGGAATCATGTCAGTTGAGTTACAAGCTCATTTGCCAATATTATCTCATTAGAGAAATGCTTTGTCATCAACATTTCGTTATGGGTTTAGCACGTTAAAGCCAGCAACCATTGGTCGCAAAAGCTGTACAGATTTAAGTGAAATTGTGTATGCATGCATGCATGTGTACTGACTAAGATCTGTTTCTTTCTTTCTTTCTTTTTTTATCTGAAAGAAAGAAAATTAAAGCTGTACAGATTTAAGTGAAATTGTGTATGCATGCATGCATGCATGTGTGCTGACCAATGCAGAATATTGCACTTGGACTAAGATCTGTTTCTTTATTTCTTTCTTTCTTTTTTTCTGAAAGAAAGAAAATTTACTTGTTGCAGGGTATTGATAGGAACCATTATTGATTTTCTGATTCCGGTTTTGGCAGGGTCGATTTGTGAAGAGAAGCTGAGAGATATATTGTAAGATTTTTGGACATCACTAAATATGAAGAGCATCATCTCCTGTAGAGGGGTTCGAATAAGTCATTTCTCCTCTTTTTTCTTCCATATGTGATTACAAAAGTACTGGGGCACTGCTAATAATTCATTGAAGTAAAGGATGTAAAATAAGTGGAGAAACAAAGCAGAAAAGAGGAAAAAAAAATTGTAAAATGCCATAGAGGCACTGGTGATGTGTCGACAGCATGATTGGAATAATATGATTATGAATCGGAATTGAAAAGTCTTATTAAAAACATGAGATTCTGAAAAAAAAAATTATTAAAAAGAGAGAAATTTCCTGATTTTTGTTTTATATTTATGAAGATTTGTTTGTTCATTATTGTGCGTTATGTATGGAGGTTCGTTTGCTACGTATTTGAAGCAATTTCAAATTCGAAAGGATGTATAAAATGAAGCTAGTTTTGATTACTCCGTAAAATGAGTTTTTTTTAAAAAAACTAAACAATTGTATTTTATAAACATGTTTCGCAATAAAGTTGAAACTTATTTCCCTAATAATGATGTTTTTATCCATGTAAGTGTCATCCCATCTATTTGACAGGAAAATGAAATATTATGTAAATTTTAAGAAAAAGAAATTAAAAACGCTAGACGCTAATTAAAGCATAGCTCATCAACGTGTTGCCTATTGACTGGACATTTAGGCTCAAACTTTCAAGATTATGCGTTCTCTCACAACTGAGGATGCTACTTACTGCTTCATGGCTTGAGTTTAATTATCTACAAGTCTCTTGACCATGTGGAGCACCCTTTGTTGCCACTATATTCGCTGGAACTTTCGAAAATTTAAAGTTTATTAAGATCTTTAATGAATGATTTATAATTTCTGAGGATATAAATTGTTATTAGTTTTGAAAGTCATAATTTAGTATTGAAGTAATTAGAAATCTAAAAATAGTATTGATCTAAATATTTTAAAATAAGAAATTGGTTATATTTTTGAGAAGATATCGATCACCCAAAAATACATTTTTCGAAAAAAGGTATCATGTCTAACTTAATCTTAACATTTATCTCTTAAGGTGTTTTATTTGTAATAAATTATTTCTTATTTAAACTTCATGTGTTTTTGCTAAGCTAAATTAAGTTTTTTAGTTCTATTTGTGGTATCATATTAAACCAATTGTCGGATCCCTTAATTGAGAGACATAATTGATATGTCGGAGAACTACTTAATTATTAAAGTGATTTTTTTTTATCCCTATCATACATGAGATTTTGTTAATTTTTCTTAGCATTTTTTTCCTACTTAAACATTTTCTCTCTCTCTTTTTTTTTCCTTCTCTCTTTTCTCTTTTTTTTTTTTAGCATTTCATTTTTTGTAAGTTGGGAATCGTCATCGGTGCCTAAAAATTAGAAGATTAGATAATTCGTCTACCTATTAATTATCTAAACTTATTATTTAAACAAAATTCAAAAATTAAAATTAACTAATGTTCATTTCTTATTTTTGTTCATCATTTTTATTTTTTATTACTTTTTTGTCAATGAGGAATCGTCATAAGTCCTTAAAAATTAAGAGACTCGACAAGAGGTGAGGATGACGTCAAGTCATCGTGCCCCTTATGCTCTCGGCAACAAATGTGTTATAATGGCCGAGACAAAAGGTTGTGAGGGTGAGCTAGCTCCAAAACCCATCTTCGGTTCGGATTATAGGCTACAACTTGCTTGCATGAAGTCGGAATTGCTAGTCAACCATACTTGCAGGTGAATTCGTTCCCAAGCCTTGCACACATTGCTCGTCACACTATAAGAGCTAGCCATGCTCGAAGTCGTTACCTTAACCGTAAAAGGGGAAGCCGAAAGTAGGGCTAGTGATCGGAGTGAAGTCATAACAAGATAGCCGTATTAGAAGGTGCGACTGGATCACCTCCTTTTTAGGGAGAGATAATGCTTGTTAGGTATTTTGGTTTGACATTGCTTCACACCGAAAAAGAAAAAAGGAGTTACGTATGAGTTAAATTTGTTGATGGAAGTCTTCTTTCGTTTTTCGATGGTGAAGTAAGACAAAGCTCATGAGCTTATTATCCTAGGTTGGAATAAGTTGATAGGATCCCCTTTTTTATGCCCCATGTCCCTCTCGTGCGACGACATGGAGACGTAAAAAGGAAAGATAGGGATGGGGTTTCTCTTGCTTTCGGCATAACGAGCCCTCAATAGGAGGGTTGCATGACGAGCTATTAGCCCGGTGGTAGAGCCCGCCCACGATAATTGCGTCGTTGTGCCTAGATTGTGAGGGCTCTTAGCCACATGGATAGTTCATGTACTCATCTTGACCCTAAGATGTGGATCATCCAAGCCACGTTAAAATGACGTACTTCTCTTGTTTGAATCGGGGTTTGAAACCAAACTTCTTGAATCGAGTAGGATAGATGGGGTAATTTAGGTGAGATCCAATATAGATCTAACTTTCTATTCACTCATGAGATTCAAGCGGTCCGAGGGCGATCACCATGGCTCCTCTCTTCTCGAGAATCCATACATCCTTTTATCGGTTTATGGACGAGTTATCTCTCGAGCATAGGTTTAGGTTTGGCCTCAATGAGAAAATAAACTAGAGCACCTAACAACGTATCTTCATAGACCAAGAACTATGAAATCACCCCTTTCATTCTAGGGCGACTAAGGGATTGTACCATTCGAGCCTTTTTTTTCATGCTTTTTTTAGAATTCTCGAGAAAGCTACAATCAATAAAATTTTCTTAACTCTCCCTTCCCGAAAGGAAGAACATGAAATTCTTTTTCCATTTCGTAGGGGCCAAGAGATTGGATATAGCCGTTAGAAGAATAATTGATTGATAAATAGCTCACTTCTTGGTTTTCAACCTTCTTAGTTGCTACGAACGCTCCCGATCGGTGTAACGGGATAAGTCTATTTATCTATTTCTTGACTCGAAATGGGAGCAAATTTGAAAAAGGATCTTAGAGTATTTAAGATGGAGCCGGAGGGTCCCTTAACGCCTTTTTTCTTCTTATCGAATTATTTCAAAAAGACTTGTCATGGTGAAGAAGAAGGGGGAACAAGCACACTTAGAGAGCGCAAGTACACCAAAGACCTATTGATTATCTAAATTTCTTTCCTTTTTTTCATCATTTTTTTTTGTTTTTGTTTTTTTTTTTTTTTGTGGCAAATCTTTACCGGTCTCTAAAAATTAAGAGGCTCAATAATTCGTTTATCTATTAATTAACTAAACTAATTATTGAAACAAAATCCTCAAATTAAAACTAAGAAAATTCCAAATGATCTAAAACATTAAATCTAAATTAAATTAGAAATAAGCATACATAAATAAAAAACATTCAGGATTGATTTATCTATAAAAAAAATAAAATTAAAACACCGAGCATTTGTTGGGTCAGTGGGCTGTCAGCCCATTGGGCCAGTCCCACTAGGCTGGGCCCACTGGGTCAGGCCCATTGGGCTGGGCTGCTAGGCATTGCATCTCCTTCCTTTTTGTTCCACGTGGGTTGATCTTTGCCCAACCCACAATTCCTTTTCTACTCCTGGATCAAGCCTAACCCACAAACATATGTCAAATTCTTTCCCATTTCATTTTCGATTAAAACGGTCTCACCCCTCTCTCTCGCTCGTCTCTCTTCTTTCATTCATCAAAAACCCAGAAACTCTCTTTCCTTCCTTCATCTCCTTCATCATTCGAAACCCACAAGAACCCTCCTGAGATGGAGATGATCTCACCCTCTAAACCGATTCTCTTTTCTCTTCCTCTCAGAATCGAATTCGGAACGCTCAATCTCTCTCTCGCTCGATCTCATTCATCCTTCATCTCACTCTCCCAGAAAACCCAGAAATTTCCCTTCTTTCTCCCTTCGGTTGATTCCCCTAAAATATAAAGAGGGTGTTGCATGTTATATGAGAGCAGTGACTAAGTCACTGCCATCATTGGTTCTTGATCAAACTAGAGGCAAAAAAGGGGATGGTGGTTTGAATCGACTAATGAAAGAGGGATTATTGAGTTTACTTGAATTGATCAATCGAAGATGGAACACTGGCAGTGACAGTGGGAGTAGCCTTCTGCTTCCTTCTCTCAGCTGTTCTTTGCCCAAGCCCAGAAACCCAGAAATGCTTATAAACCCAGAAAGCTTCTGAACCCAGAAACTCCTTTGAACCCAAAAAGCCTTTGACGTTCTTAAATTTCCCAGAAATTCCCCTTTCAATTTCCTCACAATTCCTTCTTTGATTCCTCTGCCTAAATTTTTCTCTCAAATTCCTCTAAAATTCTCTGCCCAAATTCCCTCTTCTCCTCCTTAAGTTCTTCTGCCCAAAAATTCTCTCCCCCTCCTCCTTGTCTATTTTCCCCAATTTATAGGCAAACATTGCCCATTTCCCCACCCATTTCCCCACCCTAGGATCAATTCGTTGGTCCTGGATTGCCAGTTGCTAGAGCCAAAAACCCAGTACTGGGTTTTTGCATTCTATGAATAAAACAAAAACAAGGTGTCTGTTTGTGCGTGCAGAGCTGCAATGTGGTGCAGAGGTGGGTGCGGTAGTGGAGCAGTATAGTTGAACAGGGTGGTGAGCGTGATTATTGGCTGGTATAATTACAGAGGTTGGAGACAAAATTTGAAACACCGGAATTGAAACCGCTGAAATTGAAACCCCGGAAGTGTTTCTGGGTTAGAGTGAACGACGGGCCGTTAACTCAAACTTGGTCCTGGC